CCTTGCTCTGTTCACCCACATAACACATATACTTTGCAAGTTTTCTTTTGTTGATATGTTTAGCATAATAAAGGGAAAATATACAATCACATTTTTCCACATGCAGATGTAACAAACTGGCTTGCCCAGAATTAAAAAGCTTTATGCTTTCCTTTTTTCATATACTAGTGGAAAGGAAAGCAGCATAAAAGCTTAACTGCTTTTGTTTCCATCTAGTCCCCTAAACCTTTGCTTGGATTGCCTAAATATGCTCAATATTCGTGCACATATACAGTACATATTTAGGCAGTATAGCCAGAATAACCAAACATATCACAACAATATTAAAAATAAAATGCATCTCACAGCAGATGGCAGAACTATATATTGATCGGTTGTATAGCATCCTTTATAGCAGAAGTTTATACTGTAGAAGATATTCCAAATTCTGCAGAAAAATAACCGAAAGATCCAGTCAAGAACCCAAAGACCAACAGAAAAGCTGACAATTTTAATAGTGCTCAATTTAGAATAGTGTCTCCATTGTCTAAATCACTTTTTTCTCACATTGTTACACTGAAATTAGTTTTGTATTTACGTTATTATGTAACCCTAACCCCTAACCCAAAAACACTATTCTGAGCTTACAGAAAATATGAGATGACCAGGCTCATACATCATAAGCTGTGGGACCCCAGCTGTTGCCAAAGCATGCAACTCCCAGGACAACGGGATTACATTATGATCAGGGATGCCAGGAATTACATAATTCAGGAACAGCTGGAACATTACAGATTGCCTATCTCTGACTTAGTATGATCTATGTATCTAGTCACAGAAATGAGCGACAAAACTCTCATCCACAAGATGGCAGCAACCGTATAATGCTATTACATTTATTTTTAAGACTGCTATCAATATAATAGCATTGGATACTTATCTGGCAGAAAGCTATAAGGAGATTTAAACACAAATATTCCCTTACTGAAAAGCCACGCTTACCTGTTCTCTGCCAGCGATGAACCTTTCCGATCGTTCCAAACTGCTTAT